GATAATAACGTTAAAACATTTAAAAATAATCGTATGAGAACGTTTTCGACTTCTCCACGGACGAAGTCGCGGGCAAAAGCTATTTGTAAAATAATTAGACTAAATTATTAAAAGTGCCTACCCAAAGTCATTATTCCACGCGGACGAAGTCGCGGGCACAGCTAGTCTTAAATATAATTTTCCAAAAAAAGTTTCCGATCAAAAAAGCTCACAAGCAACATCCAATATCACAAAAGCATATCACCCATCCACAACTACTTTCACGGTATCAATGTGGTAGTTCTGTGCGATGATCCGCGTTGCAACACCCTTGCGGCATCTATGGAGCAATACGTATCACAACTTTATACAAACTGCAGCGAGGATTACTGTATTGCGTATCTTGCTATTTTTGCATAATGACTTTATAAAAGATTATTATCTCAACCTAGCTATGGCTAAATATCCGTAACTCTAGCATGAACAACTTTCGTCTTCGTTTGCGTCTTTGACAAAATTCGATACTCAACCTTCGAATAATACGATAATGTGACAATTTTGATTCTCAAAATAAGTTTCGCGCAACCATTTCTCATACTAACTAGGTACCTACATACTTTACGACACGTTCACAAGGGCGCTGTTGTAGTTTTCGTATTAAATCTTTTGATGGCGATTCGAATATGCAAACGATTCGAACTCGAAAGTTTTTCGTGCTAGCCGTACCGTTCTCGTAAGAATCTCATCAAATTGATATCGAAAAGATTTGACTTGATGATCTTTAAATTCCTTCCATTTAATATTTAAGACTCAAATTCCCAACTCAATTAATGAATACATTGTCATCTCCTCTCTGGCTCCTTCTATGGCTCTACAGTTCAATTATTGAGTGTAGAGCTAAACATTTTAAACTAATATTTCTTAAAATGGGAGGCCCGTGTTCATAATGGAAAGTCCTATCACTCTATGGCTGAAATGATTGTGATGAGTTTGAAGAGATATAAAAATAAACTATAAGAGAGGACGCGGCCGCCCGCGACTTCGTACGCGTGGATCCCGTTTTACCCCCTTATAGGGGTGGAGTTTCGTAAAATCCTTTCTTAGCGGCTGCCCAGGTCATAAAATCGATCTGCATGCCAAATTTCAGCCCGATCCGTCCAGTGGTTTGGGCTGTGCGTCACTATGTCAGTCAGTCAGTCAGTCAGTCACCTTTTAGATTTAAAAACATATTAAATTTAGATTTACTTAACGATACAAATATACTTACTATTGCTGCAATCGCATTCTTGTCGTGTTGAAGGCGTGGTGGTATTGCTGGCAGTGTTGTCCATGCTAAGTGTTGCCAAATATAGCGCGGTTGCGTTTGCTATAAATTGTATGGAGAAATAACATTATCCACTCACAAACCATGGTTGCCTTGATTATAGTACTTAACTACTTGGAAATGTATTAGCCAATATCGACCACTAAGCTACGTAGTACGGGACTATTCTCACCTCTTGTTCTTACTGCAACTCCTGTGTAGACAGGATTTACAGCTTGACCGCCGGTAACTCAAGCAGTGAAGGCCAAGTTTGTCCCGGGGGAAAGTTAAACTGTCATTGGATCCGCAACGAAATGAATCAGAAGAACACAGGTGTTCCAAGTTAAGGTGGCCAAAAAGTTGACAACACAAGACGTTGAATCCTACTAATATTACGAGTATAAAGGTGAAAGTTTGTGTGGATGTTTGTTACTCTTTCACGCAAAAACTACTGAACGGATTTGGTTGAAACTTTACAGTACTATTATTTGTAACCCAGATTAAAATATAGGCTATAATTTATGCGAATCTGTGGCACTAAATTTCACGCGGGTGAAGCCGCGGGCAAAAGCTAGTTTTTACTATAAAATTATCACTCCACGGGATTTGTTGCGGAAAATCCCGTGGAGTGATAATTTTATAACACAAGACGTGTTACACTTTTTATGTCACGAGCTATTCGATGCTGACTGTAGGTACCAGCACTCTCAGATGTGGATTCCTAGTTGGTAGTACCACAGAATACATAATAGTAGCAACAGAAATTGCACTCCTTTGTGTAGGATCAGATGCCGACATTTTAACGGTAATAATAATAATGCAAAATATCCAACGCACATGGTGCATTCGAAATCGCACCTTACTACTAATCTCACAAGAGCGCATTTTTTTGTGTTTAGAATTGATCTACATCACCGCTCAAGCGTCAGGGTTGTAGGAACAAAGTAAAATAAATAAAAACTTAATTTTAAGAAGCATTTATTGTATTTACGATTAGAAAACTTTAATTAATCTAGTGGAGTTTGTATAATCGTACCATCTCTAAAGTACCTATTAATAAACTTCAGTGTTGCGATAATTCGAAATTAAACAAACAGTTTTAAAAGGTGTAGAGTCGGAAAATAGACACGGTGAAGTAAAGTTAATGTTTTTATTAGATAAAATAATTTTGTTGCTATAGTTTTTTGTCATGAGTATTTCAAAATAATTTATTATTTAAAAAGTGTAGTTTTTTTTAATTATTTAAATCACTACAGTTAATTATTATTCCTAAATATTACAATTTTTCATTAAAGAAGAATAACAGTGCTATTGGAACAATAAACCTTGATTGCGACTATGATCGACCGAGCGTGTATAGATACGCGTGTGCAAACAGGCGCGTGGCGGCCCGGACTGATTTGCAACTTGAAGTTGTCGCGCGCTGTAGGTAATTATCTCGGCCGGCATAGGCGAGTGACGGAGGCCTGGTAGTACTGATTATTTTTCTGCGGTTTAAGTAAGAAGATATTGTACTAATGTGTTTTTTAAATGGCGAGAGGTCAATATACTTACTCTGGGGTATTCGCCCCACATATTCACGCATATAATAAGATGTAGGTACTTAGGTATGTTACATGTAAATATTATTAATTTACTATTTGTGACGAAGGTATGATCGCAAACAGAAACTATGACTATATTTTTTTTTATTATCATTTTACAAAGGAAGTTCTTAAATATTATTACAATTTATTGCATTGGCATAAACCACTGAGGTTTGTTTGCAATGCTAGATGCGGTCGGTCTATTAAATTAGTAAACAGTTCGCAAACAGAAACTATGACTAAATAAACAATCTAAACCTAAAAAACCTATGCACCTCATAAGAATTAGTGTCAGTGTTGATCTCGATAACAGAGTCCAAAGGGACCTATTAAAAAAGGTTACTTATGTACGAGTAAAAGCTTTCAAAACCTTGTCCTTAATTTAAATAAATAAATAAGTCTTTGGACAATTTCACACAGCGCCAGCTAGCCCCAAAGTAAGCAACTTAATGCTTGTGTTATGGGTGCTAGCTTAACGGATATACTACTTATATACTTTTTTTTTTATAAATACATAAATATTATACATAGTCACACCCAGACCCGTCACAGAAATTAAAATTCATCATTTCAATTTCTGCCCGGCCGGGAATCGAACCCGGGACCTCTCGGCATAATAGTCCGTTCTGAACCACTACACCAAACGGCCGACAAGACAATTTAAGGCTCTATTTATGAAATCAAAACAAATCCTTGGTATTTTTCCAGCGTTAATAAGAAATTTCTCGTTTTACCACACAAACAAACAACGAGAAAGTTGGCCAATAATTGCGGAATTGAATCTGCGTAGTCGCACAAGGTGACCAACTATCAGGAAAGAAGCCCATTTGAGAAACACGCGTTGCAACAAAAAATGTCTAGACACAATATGGTGGACCGACGATCTGGTGAAGGTCGTGGGAAGAAATGAATGCGGGCAGCGCAGGACCGCTCGTTGTGGAAATACTTGGAGGCCCAACAGTGGACATCATTTGGCTAAAACAAACGATCGATGGTAGGTGGATAGGAATTCAAAGATCATCTGCGATCTAATGAGTAAGTTTTCTTTACTGGAAATTCCGAGTTCGATTCCTACAGATACACAAACTGAAAAACTCGTTGCATTTTCTCATTTTGGTTGGGATGTTGCAGGCTTTTATTACCAAATTCCATATTTTTGGAATACTTAGTAGCTACATATCTATATAACTATTTGTTCAGCCTTTTCTTGTTTGATAAGTTGTCAAAATTATCAAAAGTAAGTAAAACATAGCGCCTGATAAATTATTCTGCGATAGGATCACTTTGTAAACACTTTGCGGTTGCGATATCCACAAGATGCTATGGACACTACAATAATCTAAAACTTTAATAGTTTTTTTGTTATAGTTAATTTTTATTGTAACAAATTATAAAGTATGATTTCACGGATCGTTTCGGTTAATAAATATGAAAATAGTCCCAAAACCAAGTCTGCCTGAAAAAAACTAGACAATAAACAAAAATAAACAGTAGGTACTTTTTTCATAAAAAAATCCTATGTTTAATTACAGAAAGGTTAATAAAATCGTGTTGTTGTGCGAGAAAAGGCATAAATAATATCTTTTAACAAACATAAATACATTCACCTGGTAGATATGTAGGTACCTACACACATTTGTACATAGGTACATATTGTGTAAAAAAAACACCTGTCATCAAGGTTAAACGTTGTGTCCTATCATGTGGGTAGGTGAAGATTTTTCGAATATGAATATCCGAAACAAGATAACGTGGGTGTAATAATAAACGAATGACGCAGAGTCGACTACTACTAATATTTGTTATTATTTATATTATCACTATTTTTTATAACTAAAGTCAACGGATTAAAAATTGAATATTGAGTGATTCTATTAAAATAATTAATGATTAAACNTAATTCTATAGCTATTTGTGTTCTAGATAATCATCTGAGATAATGGCTATGGATATTAAAATTGTGTTGTATAATGAGTGTATGTATAAAACAAACACTGATATTATCATGGCATTATCTCAATGCTATACCCAGTCACAAGTAGGTATAGTGCATCTTTTATCTTTCTGGCTTGTGCAGTCATATTGAAAATACCTTACGAGTACAAGCAACATCCTTGTGAAGTGCTGTCTTGTTATATCTTATCAATATTCATTAGTAGGTTTTAGTTCTCCAATTGTATTCGTGAAAACTTACACAAAACAATTTTACTTAATTGTTTATAATTTGGTAGATTTTGCGTTTCGTCTCTGAGTGGATATAACATCGATGTTTCGGGTTCAAAGTTTCATTACCTGTACTTACCTGAAATAATCTGCAAGCGTTTTTGTTATCAATCTGTTATCGTACCTGTGTTGATTATATACGAACTGGCTGGATACCCTAAGGCAGTTTGTGAGGGATTGTGGCGTTGTGCTTACTTGAATAAACATGTGAGTATTCAATTTAGCATAATTTCATTAAATAGCTACTGACTTCAATTTAGCTAAGACTGAGAGACAGGTTAGAGGGAATAGCTAAAATTAAATAAAGGTAAATACATAAGTAAATCGTAGATTGCTATTGCAAAAATCGGAATTTATTGTTTATCTAATGCGCCGGCCGGTACCTACAACAGCAATCGATTTTATATTGAGATAAGAAACAATAGATTGATGCCTCATTTCACTTGTTTATAATGTAGTAGTTTAGTATTATTATCCATCCTTGAAATTCACGGTCAAGAAAAAGATATTCTGATGGGACATGAAAGTATCGAACTTTAATTATGTCTACATAGTTACTTAATGGATAAATAAGTATAAAGTTCTTATTCTTTATGTTTTCGTGAATTCCTCCAGCTTTTTGATCTTGTTGTAATATTTTAGTTACTTATGGAAGATTAAAGACGTAGTAGAATGAGTAGATGTCCTCACCAGCTTCTTCGAACTACTCAAGTTCATAAACAGCATAAATGAGTTCGCTACATAATCCCAAAAGTCTTTAAGGTGACTAAAGCAACAAGTGTTTTTTTCGCAATACTTACATCTTCCTGAAGGAATTATTTAATTATTTATTTATTATAATAAACTAGTTTATAACCGCAAGGTGTGCATTATCAAGGCCACAAAATACTGATAACCTAAAAACTGGTTCAATGGCACCTGAAATACACACACCATAGATAAACTTTAATTTCAGGGGCTACTTAATTGAATGAAGGTCAGTAACTAACTATGAAAATAGTTTGGATATTTTTTTCATTTTTGAAACATTTTTTATTATATGCTCCTATTAATTGTAGCATTACTAAGAATAAAGTCTTCCTCGATAAATGGGCTATCCAACACAAACATATATTTTCAAGTGCATTCAGCCATACAAACAAACTTCAGTTTTAACAGTGTAATTCATAACCTTCCTAAGGACGCGATGTTATTGTATATTATTAATACTTAGTCTGCATGAAAAAGGCAAACATTAGATTTAATTAAGGTTTAAACTAGTTACTGTTTTTTAATCTTTTCTGTTAGCAACTAGTACGAGTAAATTACTCGATAATCTAACACGTTATTTACGTAATAATTAATTATTTTCATTAATAATAATTATGATTAGATAAACAGGATAGGTCTATCTATTCGTGTAGTATAGTAGGGCACGTGTATGTACTTTAGTGTAGGTGACATTTATAAAGGTTGTACACTTGTGTACATAATGCTATGGGACATGTAAAAGTAGTATTTAATTAAATTCCAGCTGCCGAAAATAAGCGTTTCGTTAACTCTTTTATAATATGAACAGCTAGGGACTGCAATTTCACTGCTGATATATTTCCCTAACACTATGATCTGGGCCTCTTTTTTCGATATCCGAGAGCGAATTTACTGGGCAGGTCTGTATGCCTAGATGTTGTGGAAATCCTTGGGGGAGGCTTTTGTCCAGCTGTGGTCATTTGGCTGAAACGAAACGATGTACCGCCCTAGACTGCACCTATGCTCAACATCAGGTGTTATTGTGGTCAAACCCTGCCTTCTGCCTACATAAAGACAAAAAACATTGTATGATTTTTCATGAATTTTCATAGCCTTGAAAGGCTGTACAGATGATTAGATCAATGAATGAGATAACATGTTTGTTCGAATTGCAAACTACATTGGCAGAGGGCCAGTTACAGATTTAATCATTGTGTTCATACTAGATTGCTCAGTCGCCACTGAAGTGACGGGAAGGACGCACTGTGAGTTTCAGTCGGTGATCAGTGACAAAATGTAGGTAAATAGTTGTGAACTAGGTCAAGGTAACAGTACGTACTTGGGAGCACTAAAAAGTTATGAAATTGAAAGATATTCTTGTCAATGTAACATCGCAATTACCTTATAATCACGCTGTAGGTATTTTTGCTGATTTTATGAGACACTACCTCCTGCTCACAGCTTTACAATCGTAAATATCCATAAAAAGAAGCCACCCGTACTAATATTATTATTATTTTTTAATATTATTCGTTTATTTCTTTAACTTAGCCTAGTTCAGTTACAAGTTTTTGGAGCTTCCTGTTAAGCAACTAGTACTAATGATGGTTAATATTCTATTCTGATGTGTAAACTCTAGCATTGTTAATTTTCATCAAATTCATTCAGTAGTTATTGCTACAAATTATTAAATCGCAGATGCAAAGACAGCATTTACTCCCTTAGGTATTCAAAATTATTGCATTATGGAGATAATTATATCAACCAAAGTTTAGTATGAATTAATAATAATTCATATCTTGAAGAACAAATATTCATTTTTAACTAAACAAAAACATGACAACTAATTAGTGATTCTAGGAAATGAATACAATGAATTCAATAAATGTCTAAATTAAGCAAAATATTCCATGAGTTAAATACTGAAGCTAAACACTGAAATAAGTTGTAATGATAATGAGATAACAATAATAATTAATTCGTATTTTTTACAACTAGTCTGGGACTGCAAGGATTTTGTTACATGAAATATTTATGGCCAGAGGCAAAAACTTGTTTTTTATAACCTTACAGGAAATTGTGCGTTTCAAAATTTTATGGCACACACAAGAGATTTCATTCGCTATTTTACCCTATTTTTGAGATAAAAGAAAGTTAGTCTACGACCACACAGAAAAAAATCTATAATCCACGAAAACCATCGCCTCCCTACATGTTAGATTTTTTTTTGGTACCTAATTGAAAAATATCTTCATAATAAATTATTTCAAACCTGATAGATACACCTGATATCTGATAGGATATTTTTTGTTACTATAGTTATAGAAATAATATAATTAAGTATCTACTTAATAATATTTTAAACTAAGTACCTACCTCCTTGTTTAGCTCAAATCTTGTAGAAAAAAGTATTCAAAAATGTTGAATAATTATGTTTGCACCTAGCCTTCTTCAGTCTAAACTTTAACCCTAGAATTGTGCGCTATTGTATGCCTTCAAGGCGAAACGCAGCCGATCTACACCCATTAAAATTTGACAACTTAAGTAGGTTTATCTGTTTACATTTAACCTGTGGATGACAATAAACGTATTTTGAATTTGTAATTTTTTCTACCATCATAATGTGAATGAGTCGTCATCTCAGCCATAGGTCGTCCACTGCTGAACATAGGCCTCCCAATGCTTTCCATGTTGCCCGCTTGGTAGCGGCCTGCGTCCAGCGCTTTCCTGCTACCTTTATGATGTCGTCGGTCCACCCTGTGGGAATTTCCACGCTGCGTTTTCCAGGACGCTTCCTCCACTCCAGAACCTTGATGTGAATGAGTATTTTAATGAAAATATTACATTCTTACACAGGGCAGAGGAGCCGTTGGTGATCGTAGCCGTGAGGCTGGTGCTGGAGTTCGTCTGGACTCTCATTGTGATGAACTATGAGACCTTGAAGGCCATCTATCTGTTCTTCATCCCGCCAGAGCCTAAAGATGTCACCGAAGACATTATATTCGTAAGTTTTCTCTCATAAATTGGGTGCGAGTGGATAATGTACAGAAGTAATAATATTGGACTCGTATTTTTTATTTTCTTTTATGAAAGATACCAGTGCTACATCGAGTTGAAATGGCGTGTAACGTCACGCCTATGTAGATTTTTACTTAGAAGTGACGTCACGCGACATTTCAACTCAATATAATACTGTAATTATTCAATTATAAAAAAAAATACGTGTCCAATATTTTTTTATTATCTGTCTAACGGACTAAATAGAATTTCGATTTCATTACCCAGTCAAAAATCAAAACATAGGTACAGACGACTTGAGAACCTCCTCCTTTTTAAGTTGGTAAAAAACAAAGTTTTTAAACTCATCAACACAACAACTCAACTTCTTGGTACAAATCTTGAGTCTACTTTAAAATATCGTAATTTTATACTTATTGAAAATTTAATTTAATTTAATTTAATTACCTAATTAAATTTAATTTATTAGGCAGGTTACAGTCACGTGCAAATTTTTAATTTAATTGTTTGAACCTTCTTAAGTGGAATTTAGTAGGCTAGTGCCTATACACGTGTTTATATACAGTTTTACATGAACTTACATGTTTTTCTGGCTTATGACAACAGAAAACCTTAATTTGCATGTGTAGACATACAAGCAAATTAACTTACCTACTAGTATTCATTAAATTTTATTACTAGTATCGTACCTATGTAGGTATGGGAGGAACTAATTAACTAACTGACGTAAAAAGTGTTTACTGAAATGTTTGGGCGCTAAGCTATTCTTTACACCCCTTATTTATTATAATACCTATGAAATTTAATCAGTAAATATAATACCTACTTAGTTACTTGCCTATTAATATCACCTAAACATAGGCCACCTTCGGCCAAGAAGTTATCATCTAGTTCAGGGTTACCCAAAATGGGGTACGCGAACCCCTAGGGGTTCACCATTCGACAGCAGGGGATTCACGACAAGATTTACGTAATGGTGGCAGCTTCGAAATTACGGATAAAATTGTCCAAAATTTACTCCATTTGCGAAAAGAAACAAACACACCTTTCTTTGGCACTTTAAATGGTACTTTTTATTGAAATTAAAACATTATTTTCTTCAATAGTCAATTTTATTATTTTATTTGAAGGTGTTAGTTAGCTAGTTATGGGGTTCGTTGTCACCTGACAACTAACAGGGGTTCGTGGAGCCGTAAGTTTGAGAAACCCTGATCTAGTAGCAGAGCAAACGCCAATAGGATAGTTAGGTTACAAAGATAAACAGTAACTAAGGCAGTGCAGTCAGTGGTTAAAGTCCACGACCTTTGCTCATTAAAGATAATTAGAATTCATTATCTCAGGTAATAAGCACATACCACCGATTACATGAAAACGCAAGTTTTCACAGTAATCTAGCTAGTGAAATTGCTATCTAATCACATGCGTAATGAAACGTAGATTTTATGGTATTTGATTTGATT